CGCGACACCGCCCCGGGGCGCCGGCCGCGCACAGGGCGCCCCGTACCCCGCATTTATACCTTGCCGTTACACTTTTATAGCGCGCTCTTTTATACGTGACGTGTGAGTAGTGTCCACTGTCCCCCCGAACGTCATGGTGTCTCTCCCCGTTGGTCCAGTACATTTTGTCTCTGTACATGACTGTTTTTTTGAATCCACATCTCCGTAGTATTTTTTAAATAAATGTTTACAACATCAGCGCGTGGGCAGGTCGCTTTGCTCGCGGGCGCCCGGGAGCTGGGCCTGCGGCCGAGCGCGAGTCGTGTCCTGCGCGGTCTACAGGCCCCGGGGGGCTCCGCCTCGCGCCGGGCCGGTTTCTGCCCCGTCCTCAGGCCCTGCCTGGGCCCTGGACACCGACCTGCCGGCCGCCAGCCCCCGTCAGCTGCCCGGAGTAGGCTGGCGTGGGCGAGGTGGCCGCCCGAGAGCCACGCCTGCTGGGCATCGCGGCCCTGCTGGGGTCAGGCGCCCGGCCGGCCCAGGCGGCCACCCCTCTGGCTCCAGAGGCCTCCCCCTGCCTTTGAGTCCCCCCGCCTCTGCCCTCGGGCCCCCAGAGTGCCCCTCGCTTGTGTTCCCCCTGCCGGGTAGCCCTTGTGGGGTGTGGACAAGAAGGAAGAGGCTGTGCTGGCCCGAGGGGCCCTGCTGTGGCCCCCCACCCCCCAGGGACTGCTTTGAGGGGTCCGGGCGTGTCCTCGGCTCAGTCTCCATCTGCGGCAGCTGACAGCTCGGCAAGCGGAAGTCGGGGGTCACGGCAGGGATGAAGCACAGGCTCGCCACAGGACTCAGGCCTGCTCACCAGGGCGTGCCGAGAGCTGGCTCAGAGGGGCCTGTGGGGACGGCCCACGCCAGGGTGAGGACGGAGTGGCACGGACAGCCGTGGCCCCCTGGCCACTGTGTCAGTGACTGGGGAGCCCTGGACGCCAGGCCCCGGAGCGAAGGCCTGAGTGGTCTCGTGAAGGCCGCTGCCCGCTGCCTCCCCGTAGATGCCCGGCCCGGCCCCGCCGTGACCGCCCGTCTCTGGCGCTTGGCAGCGAGCTCGCCGCCCAGGGCCTGACGCGTGGTGAGGCGCCCGCTGGCCTCTGTCTGCCCGAGCTCAGAGACCCCCACCCGCTCCAGGACAAGGGCCTCAGCCTTTCGTAGGACACAGCCCCTTGAGCGCGTCCTGCAAGCTGGAACTCACACACGCGACAGGCCTGCTCACCTGCCCCGGGCCGCCGCCGGCCCGGCCTGACAAGGGACCCGGGTGCCGTCGGGCTTCTAGGAAATGCAAGTCCATCGAGCCATCGCCCTACTAAAGCACACGGCCGCAGAGGACGCCCCGAGGTCACGGAGGAGCGGACAGGCCCGTCCGGGGTCACCAAGGGGCGATCCAGGGCAGTGAGGCCCCCGCCGCAGCAGCCGGGCGAGGCGGGGTGTGTGGCTCGTGCCAGCGCACCCGCTTCCTGGTGGCCGACGCCGGGCTGGGGGCGAGGGCACGCCGCCTGGCTGGGGGCGGGTGTGGGGCACGCGCTTCTTCGTCCATCCAGGCGGGGCCGCCACCGGGTCCCTGAATGGCTGCCCAGGGAGTGGGGCCTCCTGCAGTGACTGACCGGAGGAAGCAGCACGCAGCACCATCCCGCACGCGGGAGCGTCCATGGTGCAGCCCCAGGTCCGGAGGAGCCAGAGCCAGGCGTCAGGAGGGCTCGGGGGGCTCGCGAGCCCGCGCCCCCCGCTCTGGGTGAAGGCCCTGGGCTGGGTGGGGTCCCTGGCCTGGGCCATGTTAGGGTGCGGCAGCTCGCTCCTCCCCAGCGCCGCCCCCAGCTTGCTCCTGAGCCTAACCGGGCCTCTGCTTTCTTCTTAAAGGTTGACATGAACCTTTCAGACATAAGTGCAGGCAGGAATGTTCCTCTTCTGATTTAAAAGCTAAGTGCCCTCAGGTCTGGGCACCACGGTGCCTCCCGTCTCGGGTGAGCGGGCGCATGAACCCTGAGGTGCTCCGCGGGAGGGTGGCGGCCAGGGCACCCAGATTGCCCGGGGCCACCTGCTGCCACGGCCAGTCCTGATCTGGAGAGTAACCTGCCCAGCAAGGGCGGGGGGCGCAGAGTGACTCGAGGGGCCCCCAAACCTCGGCAAGGCCGGTGGCGTCCGGGCTTCAGGAGGCGAATCTGGCCAGTGTGGCGGGAGTGGACCCCGGCCGTCAGGGCCGTGGGGTCCGGCCGCGCTGACGCCGGGGCCGGGACCCCGGCAGCACCTGAGTGGCGTTGCTCTTGGCCTGGTGCCGCCTGGTGCCGCCTGGAGCCGGGTTCAGGCCACCCTGAGGCCGCCCTTCACCGCAGGTCTCCCCGCGGAGGCCAAACCAGCCCTGCGTTCAACACCAGCCTGTGGGCACAAACCTGGGAGCCCCCACAGGCGCGGCTGGGCCTGGGCCTCCAGCTTCCCGCCACCAGTGACCTCGGGGAGGTGCCCTTGGTCCTAGGGCAGAGGGGGGCGTGGGGCAGGCCACCGAGCTGCGCCCTGGCCTGTGGAGCTGGTCTGGCCTCTTGGGGTGGGGGCTGCTGAGGGAAGGGCTGCGCTGGATTGCCGCCCCCAGGGGAGGGTTTGGGCTGGTTTGGGCTGGCTCTCCTGTGCCTGTGGGGGGCCCCACCACCTGCCCTGGTCCCCGCCTGCCTGCTAGAGCTTGGCCCTCCCTGGCCAAGGGAGGGCCCTTTCCACCAAGAGGCAGAACCTGGGGCTGCATCTCCTGCCCTCTAGACTGACAGTGGCCGCAGGGGGCGCCCCGGGGCACCCCATGCCTCCCCCCGCAGCCCCAGCCCCGGGGCCCCCAGGGGAGCGGCGGGCGCTGGACCCCGTGTTCCCGCTCCCGTCAGCCTGGCTCCTTTGTGGCTCACAGCTGTCCCTAATGAAGTGGCTTTCTGGCTGCCGGAGACGGGGCCGGGGACGTCAGTCACCAGCAGAACGGGAAACGCTGAGATGCACCAGGGTGCCGGGCTCGGCGGCTCTGAAGAGCTAATAAAAATCTACCAATTAATTGTGACAGCTCAACGACGTCTGCTCACTTGTGAACGGGCCGAGCGGCCGCGAGAGCAGGCGGGAGAGGTAGCCATGGCAGCGTCCGGAGGGCGCCTTCTCGGGGAGGCGGGCGGGTGAGCCCTGGGGGGCCGGACCCACAGCCCGGCGGGAGAGGCTGTCCCGCGCGGGGGGCTGTTCCCAGAGCGCGCCGGGCTGCGGGACAGCCAGGGAGCCTGCAGGCGCAGGCACTGCCCCCGCCAGCGCCCCCCGACGCGCCCCTTCACGCCCGCCCGTCCAGTTAAGGGGCGCGGGAGAGTCAGACGAGCCTCCGAGGGGTTTGCAGTCGCCACAGCTTTAATTCCGAGGCGCTCGTCCCTGTCCCGTACATCCGGCCTGGAACCGTGCTGGAGCGAAATCCACGCCTGGCGCCCGGCCGGCCGCGCTCGGCACACACCGCACCCCAGGCGGGACCGGGCGGAAGGGCCCTTGCGGTGCCCCGAGCCCCGCCGGCAGCACCCCGCCGGCTGTCGTGCCCTGGGGAGCTGGCGTTGCTGGGGTGGAGAACGGGGGTGTCTCTCCCATCTTTGCTTCCAGAGCCAGACTCGACCCGGCGGAGAGGCCCCACCTCAGCTGCACTTCGGATGTCAGTTCCAGACGCCCCCATGGAGACTGCCCACGCCTTGATGCCCCGCGGGCATCACCGCCCACCCTCCCTCAGCCCAGGAGCCGCTGGGCAGGGCCCCAGGGCCGGAGCAGCGTCTGGGGCGCTGTTGCTGCCTAACCCGGCCGGGGCTTGCTCTCCATCACCCCCTTTGTGGCATCGTTCGGGGTTTTGCTTCAGCAAAGTCGGAAGTCCAGGCAGTGATGCATTGTAGTGGTACACCCGTCTCTGCATCTTCCTCTCTGAAGCTGGGGGCGGGGGCGGGCCCCCAGCGCGACCCCTCCGGGGCGCCCTGGCCCCTCAGCGCCGGCCGAAGCGGAAGCTGAAGCCCCCTTTCTTCCTGCTGTAGCTGGTGAGCTCCTCAGCCAGGGTCCCCAAGGGGCCGCCGGCCTTCTCGCCCTCGGCCGGGAGGAAGCCCGCGGCCTCGCTGCCGCCCGGGTCCTGCCTCCCGACCCGGAGCCTGAGGCCGGCTCGCCCTCTGCCCGCCGCCTGCAGCTCCTCGCCCAGGACCAGCGGGGCGGGTGGGGGCGGTGCCCTGTGCCCCTGCGAGGAGCCCCTCGGCCAGCCAGCCCAGCTCACTTCGCCTCCGACGTGACCCGTGGCGCCCACAGGCCCTTCTCTGGCCAGCAGAGGAAAGCAGGTGCCCAGCGGCAGGAGGAGGAGGTAGGACAGGGAGCCGGGGCTTAACATCTGGGCCGAAGAAAGAGAGGAGAGGTTACCGGCTGCGGGGTGCACCCTGTACCCCACCCGGCAACAGCACCCCTCCAGGCCCGGCAGCCAAGGCTGCGTGGACAGTGCCAGTGGGTGGGGTCAGGCTGCTGTTCCGGCCCCGGAACCTGACAGCCCCAATCGTCCCGGGAGCCCTCCCAGCTCGCCGGGGTGGGGGGCCCCGGTAATCAGCGCTCTGGCGGCTGGGGTGGCCCAGGGCCAGACCCGGGGGCCAGCAAACGTGGGTCCCTGCTGCTCCTAATTACTGGCCCTGGCCGAGCCTGGAGCAGGAGGTACCAGCATCCACCTGTTTCCCATCTGACCCGAGCGGGGGCCCCCACTCTTAGCTGGGACTCCGCTCACGTCTCCTGGGGGCTCCCGAAGGCAGGAAACGGGCCTGCTGGCCCTGGCCTGACTCAGGCAAGAAAGCTGTCAGAAGGCTGAGGTGTGGCCAGGCCCACAGCGGAGAGTGGACGCCTGGGCTCCTGGGCTGTGCCTTCGGTTTAGGGCTCTGGGCCCCTCGGCCCCAAGAGGCGGCAGCCCCAGGGGAACACGCCGACCCACCAGCCCAGGCAGCAGCCTGCGAGTGACCACCCCACGGAGGCCCGGCAGGGGCCGGCAGGGGCCGCTGGAAACAGGAGCGGCCCTAGAGCGCCCACTGCTCAGGCTGCTTGCCGCCCACCGCAGGGGCTGGTGAGGACCACGGCGAGTGGGTGGCCCCTCGCAGGGGTGAGGCTGGCAGCCGGCTCTGGGGAGCCGGCACCACACCCCAGGGCTCCCCCCAGAAGCTGCTCCCTTGGAGTGGCTTCCAAGCGACCCCAGCCAGAAGCAGCCCTCACTGCGCCCAGATCCCGCCGAGGCCTCTCGCACCCCCCACCCCGCCCCTGCCCCCGGCTGGGCCCGTGCCCCTGCGCCCCGCAGAGCGGGGGTGGGGGCATGTCCCCATGGCTTCCCCTACCCCTGCAACACAGCCACGTTGGGGAGGGGCTCTAGGTGCACAAAAGGAAGGGTCCTCACTCCCCTTTGGGGGCTCATGACCCTGGTGGGCTGCAGCACACCCTAAGGGCTCTGGCCCCAGCACCCCGAGTTTGGCAGGGAAGCCCAGCGGGCCTGAGCCCTGGGGCGCCTTGCTCCGTCTGGGGGCTGCAGGCGAGGCCGGAGCTCCGGGGCCTACAGGCCTCCCCTGCCCGGCGCCACCGACTGGACCAGGCCGAGCGTCCCCGCTGGGCAGGGGCTGTCCTCACCGTGCTGCTCCTGGGACCCGCAGGCTGGCGAGCTCTCCGGCGCCTGAGCGGGCGAGCCCTGTCCGGCAGCTTTATAGGCCCCGGGCGCTGCTGCATTCCTGAGCCCGGGATTCCGCGGGGACGCGGTGGCCAGGGGCGCGGTGCCGGCGCGTGACAGCCGTCACAAGCAGGACACGGCCTGAGGAGAGGCCACCGTTTGCCGCGTGGAGGGGCTGGCCCCAGCATCAGGGCCCTGGCAGAGGCGCCCATACCCGCCGAAGAGGCTGGTGCGCCTGGCGCTCCCAGAGGCCGTGGGCGCGGCACCCACACCCC